CTTAGACTCTCCAGAAGACTGGTTCTAGAGCCAAAGACACACCTTCAAGTGAGCCTGACTAGGCAGTACCTCTCAACCTCCCACACTAACTGAAACTTCTTCTCCACCAGAAAGGTGACATTCCATGTCTCCATCACCAGCTTTAGTAGTGGGCATCAGTCTCCCAGGGTCTCCATCCTTGGTCGCCACTGGCACACACTGTACCCAACCCCTACGGTGCCTCCCATCTCCCTTGTTCAAGCATTGGGGCCAGAGTAACCCTTTCCCAGGCCTGGTAAACTGTTCCCTCGATGTTGGACCCATGGAAATATAAATTAACTCAAGTCATCAAAGTAGAACATACTGTGGTTTTGTTTTTCTGTGTTTTTATCTGATTTTATAAGACAAAAAATTGAAAGTTGGCTTTATTTATCACAAGGTATAAACATAGCTTGGTAAATTTTTTACTGCTTTACCGTATCACTCAGCTTCAGCAAATGTGTGGAAGTGGCATATGCAGCTACTGCCCAACTGGACAAACAGAATGCAAAAGTGGTTTTCAGAATCCTCTACTAGCTGCTGTCAATAACACATGAATAGAAGTGTCTTATAAAAAGATGTTTCATCAGGGAATACATAAAAAATCATTTTGTTCTATCAGCACTGGAGATGAGCACATTTCAGGGAACTTTGGCCTCCTGGACCAGGTTGAAGCTCTCAAGTGGATCCAGCAGCACATTCACAACTTTGGAGGAGACCCAGGATTAGTTACTATATTTGGAGAGTCTGCTGGTGGAGTGAGCGTGTCTCTTCTGGTAAGAATCTACAGTTAGAGGAACTTTATATAAACCTTTTCACTCTAGAACAAAAATTAATATGTGATGTGTTACTTGAATCACAGCTCCTGTCACCACTGTCTGATGGGCTGTTTCACCGTGCTATTGCTGAGAGTGGCACAGCTGCAATGAATGTACTTGTGGCAAAATCCTCTACCAATGGCGCAGGTTAATTATCCAATATTCTTCCTTTTTAGAGGTGTTAAACATTTTTGTTGCAGAATAATGAGTAACTTTGAAATGGATTTGTTTTTGACAAATATTTGCATCTATTTATATCTGACCTCAGGGCATTGCAAATGCATCTGGCTGCAGCTTGAAAGCACAAAGAAGATCAGTGACTGCATGAGAAACCATGAATTGATACTATGATGGGTTTTACACAGGTGAGGTAATGGGTGCAAACATGATGAGAACGAATATGATTATTATGTCTTCTACAATATTTATTTGAAGCTTTGATTTCTCCCTCAGCTCTGTTCATGCTATCACATCTTTCACTTTTGTACATTTTATTTCTCTCAAGGATCCAACATTAAGATTTCAAGTAAATGTTGATGGACATTTCCTGACTAAACCTGTGGATGAGCTGTTTCGTAAACATGAACTCCATGCTGTTCCATTCATGACTGGTGTCAATAATGATGAAGGTGGATGGATGCTTGCATCAGTAAGGTGTAGAAGTGTAGAATAAAGAGAGTAGTCCAAAAGATATTTGCCGCAATGTGTGAAAAAAAACTGTAATGTGGCTTTGTATTTCTTTTTAGATTTTTTGCTCCCCAAAACTGGACAGAAGGACTAGATCGGAATTTGTTTTGAACATAGTTGTCCTTCTTCTACCCCGACGTAAGGCAGACACCACTTGATGTTACAATATTACTGTCCCCGACCTGCTCGAGCTTCTTTGATTGATGTGTTGCTTATTTCTTTAAGCCTAAAGCAGCATTTATCAGAGATGTGATAGCTGATGAATATATCGGAAATGGTGACGACCGTGTGAAAAACAGAGATGGGTACACTGAGATGCTTGGAGATTTGTTTTTCACCATTCCAGCGATTAAAGCTGCTAATGCTCACAGAGGTAATTTAATTTGTTTAATGAAATATTATACAAATCTGTTTAAAACCCAACACTTGATGTTTACTGTGACACACTTTCATTAACAAATATCACACACATTCGTCTAATTCCAGATGCAGGTGCTCCTGTATACCTGTATGAGTACCAACATCCTCCCAAATTCCTGCAGCAGAAAAGGCCGAGCTTTGTTGGGACTGACCACGGAGATGAAATTTTTACAGTTTTGGGATTTTGCTTCACAACTTCCCATGTTAGGTTACCCGGTAAGATAACATAGAAATCAGCCTTAGTGCTAGATCTGTTTTGTTTTCCAAGTGTGAAAAATATGTTTTGCAACATGATCGTTTTAGATCCGTGCCCTGAGGATGAGGAACAGTTGAGCAAGATCATGATGAGCTACTGGGGGAACTTTGCTCGCACAGGGTAGGAATTTCCAACTGTTGTAAATTTCACACTTCACACTTTTAATAACTGAATGGTAAATGGTAAATGTCCTGTATTTGTATAGCGCTTTACTAGTCCCCAAGGACCCCAAAGCACTTTACACATCCAGTCATCCACCCATTCACACACACATTCACACACTGGTGATGGCAAGCTACATTGTAGCCACAGCTACCCTGGGGCGTACTGACAGAGGCGAACTTAATAACAAATGTATATGTGTTTAGATCTCCTGATGGGCACAACCTTGTCCACTGGCCAAAGTATGGAGCAGAAGAAAAGTACCTGGCGATTGGTTTAAAAAAGCAGGTAACTGCTCAGCACCTGAAGAAGGAGCGCTTTGTCTTCCTGACTCAGACCGTCCCAGAGAAGATCAAACAGCATGAGGAAAATGCAGAACGCAGCGAGCTGTAGAAAACTCACATCTGGTCTCTGCTCCATCAATTTTTAAAATAATTAGAATAAATCATAATTCATTTAGCGACCATTCTTTACACATAGTAAACATAGGGTATGTCAAATAATCCTTTATAATGACAAGAGCAGTTTTTGTATAGTTTAAGACATTGATCATCGATAAACGAATGCAACTGTTTTTACTTAACTATAATCAAAGTGTAATTGTGGAAGTGAAAGAAAATAGTAGATAAAAGGTTGCTAGTTGAGAGCAGCTGTCATAACATAAAAAAAAAAACCTTGTTAAAATAAACAGATGTGACATCCTGGTTCTTTTCAGTTTTTATTTTTTTCTCATAAGAGGTATTTAAGTTAACCGCTGTGGTGACCCTTTGTGACACCAGCCAAAAAGAGCCTCCTATCAGTAAAGCTGCATTGTAATTGTAGGCCACCATGCACTCTATAAATTTTGTGCCCCTTGATGAAATCTGGATTATATACCCTGTTTAGGTATATTATTCTACTGCAGTACTCATCTTAACTTCATGCCTTGATAAAACTTTAGGTGTTGTGATTAGCTTACATGTTTTCATGGCTGATGCAAAACTGCTTTTCATCTTTACACCTATCCCACTCATATTACCTATATAGGAGTGGATGTTTCTTTTACACAGCACAGTGATTGTGCTAGTGATTAACATTAAGCACTATGATTGGTGAATGGTGATGCTGGCAGGTCGCCTGTTAGGCATTACCTCTACTAACAGTGTTTGTATTTTATGTGTATTTTTGATAAAATTGTCTGGCATGAAATATATTTCAGTAGTCCATTTGAGAAATCTGAGCAGTTGTTTAGCTATGGGGATTGTATGCGTATTTCTGGTGTTACCTGATAACTTAGCATTCCATCTTTTAAAATATGTTAATTTTTTTGGTTGGTATTGGTACTAATTTAAAATATATACCTCAAACGTGCACTATGAAAAATGTCTGAATATTTTTGTGTTGGCTGTCATGTCTTTTCTGTACATATTTTATATATGTTATAGCACATTTAAACAGCAGAGGTTGACCCAAAGTGTTTTAAAGACCGGCACATTTACATTACAATGTATTTACCGTACGTGAAAAACTGAAAGATGTGTTTTACTGCGAAAAGTAAAAATCACAGTGATTTAATGGTCATTAAACTGGTTTCAAAATTTGGCAAACGGATAATGATTCGCTGCTCTCGTCTACATAACCTCACTTTATTGGTTAAAAGTATTGGTATTGATACAGCTCAATCCGCCTCCACGCGTCTGCTTTTGGATACTGCTTCCCTCAACACGCAGCCGTCTGCGTAACCTACAGGCAACGACACTGACTGACTTGACAGCAGTGGGACAGACAGTTTGCTGTACTTTGATCACTTTTTGCTGTGCCTTAAAATCAGTGCAATCCAGTTACACCCCGCAGGATACAGTACATGCGCTTACAAGGAGACTGCGTCATATGAGGAAGCCCTACTTCTCTTGGCTTTTCTCTCACTTTTTGCACAATCGTGTGTCGTAATCTGCCCCAACACCACCATGACGTGCCATGCCAGGCAGACTTTTTGCTCTCTAATGCCCGTTTTATTTCTCTGTGTTGCTGCAGACCTGGACGGTGAGTAAGAGGAAACACTTCTTTGAACATTGACATTCGTGCTTTTGCGTTTTTTCATCTATACAGTAGCGGTTTTTGATACGGGCTGGCTGGAGAAGCATCTAATAACCAACAATAATAAGATACAGACTTATAATTTGCATCGATGCTTTTTCGAAATTCTATACGCGAAAAGTGAGCACGAGAGCCCTTGGTGCGCCTGCTCGCTGCTGAAGTCAAAGTAAACTTTATTGTCATCTCCGCTACATACAGTCCAGTATATAGAGAGACGAGACGGCGAGGCTCCAGTTACAGCAGTGCAAGTAAACAAACAATAAATATAAGAAGAGTAAGAAAATAAATCTACACTTTAGGACTCG